ATATCTACCCAATTAGACCCCACTTCATCCTCTTCATCAGAAGTACTACACCTAGTAACTGAAACATCAACTATATCAACACCACGTGCACAAACAACTCTCAACATATTCAGAAAATCAATATTATTTTGAACCACACAATTCGGATGGCCCACAATAGAATATGAAATACACATAGTCTCAGGTTTCAAATTCTCCCATGTTTTACACAAAATACCAACCGATTCCTCAAAATTCAATTCGCATGAAACATTAATAACAATAGTATCATTCCCATATTTGCACAGCAACAACACCGCACTGTCCATCGAAACTGAAAGAAAAAACAAGAAAAATAATTTGTTCAACATAAAAACACTTCACAAGAACAACATAAAAGTCCAGAGAAATTTCTAAAAATTATAATTTTCTCTGGATTATAATAATAAGCTTATAATTTTCTCTGGACTCAAATAAAAGTCCAAAGACATTTACAAACTTATATTCATCTTCAAGATAACAAAAACAAAATCACAGAAACTTAATGAATCTAGAGAGAATCACAGATAAATTTACTACTAACTATTAAACACAATCATAAAAAAAATCACACAGAATATCTGTTATGGAATTATAGGCTTCTCTGTGATTTTCACTGAACTACAAGCTAACAATTTTCTATGCGTCATTCTGCAATATTGCACTCATAGCAAAATTCAGAGAAATTTACAAACGTATATACACCTTCAAGATAACAAAAAATACTGCATTGTCCATCTAAACTGAAAGAAAAAACACAAAAAATAACTTTTGCTTAGAAAAACAAAAACTTATATTCACTTTCTACAAACACATAATTTTCTCTGAACTACAAACTGAAAGTGAGTAACAAACTTATAGTTTTCTCTTAACTACAAATAAAAGACCAGAGAAATTTATGAACTTACATTCACTTTTTCAGATTCTATCTGCATTAGAAACTTCTAATAATATGTCCATATGAAGTTATAATTTTCTTTGTGATTTTTGTTGGATTATAATAACAAACTTACAATTTTCTCTATACTATACCAACAAAAGTGCAGAGAATGAAATTTCTCTGGTTTAAAAAAAATTCTCTGGTTTGAAAAAATATAGAACAAAATTTATCATTGATCAGCATGTTGATGAAAAACAGAGCACGAAAAATGAACTCTAAATATCAAAATCAACTACACTATCAACACTCTTTGAAATTGATCAAAAAACAGAGAATGAAAAATTAATTCCAAAAATAAAAATCAACTCCATCAAGCTGGCCTCTCTCTAAACAAAATTTCAAAACAAAAATCAAAATCCAAGTGGAATCTCCATCGAAAACATACCTGATTCAACTCTACTGAAAAACCTACGCGATTAACACACTGTAACACCTACACAATTGTAGCAATCTTTCTCGTCAACTCCACTGAAATCTCCAACGAAATCTCCACCACAAAGTCAGTTTCCAAAATCTCCACCATGAAGTCAACAATATAATATTCAAACAAATTTCTCGTCAACTCCACTGCAATCTCCGACGAAATCTCCACCGCGAATTTAGTTTCTAAAATCTCACCGTGAAGTCAACAATATAATATTCAAACAAATTTATGTCATAAAAGAAGGGTAAATTAGGTACTTTATAACCTAAAATAAACTTGAGGGACCTTAGCCATCAAAACATATTATTTTGGACCTCTCCTCCTATCAAAAGTAGATGAGGGACCTTAAGCCAATTTTCCCATTACTTTTCTTAACTGAACTATTTTTCTCAATTTATTTTTTGCTCTTTTTTTTTTTTTGGCAAAATTAAACAAATGATTTTTTTTGTTAAATAAAAACACAATTTAAACATTCCTACCGTGCATAAATTTGACAATATATAAAAATAAAAATAATAAAACATGATTTGTGAGTTATTAAAGAGTGTTCCTATTAGCACTTACTTAAATTCTTTAAATCCTCAAATTTCTATTTTTTCTTTTATTACAATTATACCTTGAAGTAAAATTACATTAAAAGACATCATTTAATGGAACACCCACTTATCAAATAAGAACTAACACTATACAATATTGTACACCCCTGTACCCATACCCCCACCCCTAGTTACATGTATTCCATCTTTCTAACCATAAACCTGTTACTTTTCATAATCAACCAACATAAACCCTAAACCTAATACTCTTCATAACCAACTTAAGTCCTAAATGTATCATCTTTGTCACCATCATAAACCCTCATGAACCATAAACTTTGAACCAGAAAGCTATTGTCAAGTCCAATGTATTACTTTTCATTGGTTATTTCACCTTGTATAGCAGTGGATGATGATGACAACAATTCTGATGAAGTTGGCGTTCCATTGGTAAGTTTATCTATCTTGCATTAACATTCTCGGTCGTTTTTAATTGTTATTGTTTTCTTCGAGCTATTTGGTACTAATTTGTCGATTGTTAAGATTATGTTCGGTGATACAGTACTGAACACAAACATTTAGTTCAATATATGGGTTCCGAACAGTAATGTAGATAGTCGGTACTATTGAACATGACCTTTATTTTCGGCACTGGTGTGCCGAATGGTTCGATTTTTGTATCTTTAACATCAAATTGTGTTTTTCGTGAGGGTTTGTCCCTCTAAAACCCCCTTTTACGTAGAAATAAACCAAAAAACAAAAATGTTATTGGAAATAGAGAGGCAATGATGTTGATAAGATGAGGAGTCGGTATTTACGTGACGGGAATTTCTGACAAGTTTTCTGCAATGGTGAATAGGAATTTCCAACGAGTTTTTCGACGGTATTCCTTGGACATTGTTGAGTCGGTTCTTCTTTTTGTTGAGAGCTGACGGGAATTTCAATGATAGACCGTTGATGCAATGCTTTTCACTGAGGGAATGGTGTTTAATGATGCAATGACCGTCGGCGTTCTTTTCAACAGGAGATGAAAGGTCATCAAAAGGAGAATGAAAAAGGGTGTGCAAAATTAGGTGGTATGCCTTGGATGTGATAATATTATGAATAGGGATAAATTTGGTATTAAGTGGGGTGTTCAAAGAAATCTTATTGAAATTTAGGATTTAGGATGGGGGCTCAAAGAAATGGGAGGTCCAAAGAATTTAGGCAGGTGCTAATAGTACCCCTTTTATTAAATTTGGGATAAACTACTAATAAGTCCTAATAGTTTCCTATTAAAAATAAATCTTAGTAAAATTGTCCTTAAAATAATTGTTTGTGACATTTTTTGCATATATCGCTAAATATTGACAATTAGTGACATTTTTTTGTCATGATTTTTATAAATTGTTGCTAAAACTTACAATTAGTGACTTTTTTCTATGATAAAATTTTTAAACTGTCGCTAAAAGTTGAAAAGTAATGACTTTTTTGTGGCGAATTTTTTAAACTGTAGCTAAAACTTATAATTACTGATATTTCTTGTGACAATTTTTAAACTATCGCCGAAAATTAACAATTAGTGACGTTTTTTAATAGTGTTTAATGAAAAACGTAATTGATTATCATAGAACTTATTGAACAATAAGATCACCTATTAAAACCTACACATTAGTCTCCAATAAATTTCGTTTAAGGTGGATGGTGGCCAATTGTTGGAGGATCACCAGCTGGTCATTGAAGATGGCTAGAGGTCAATGGAGGGTTGTTGGTAGGGATGGTCACGGGTCAAGTTTGTGGCGGGTTTATAGAAATCCGCCCCCCCATATCATATTGAGGGTGAAGCAAATCGGGAGATAACAGAAGCGAATTAATTTTGTAAGTTGAAAAATAAAAATATTAATAAAAATTATAGATAATATAGTATATTACGAATAATAATTTATACTTAATGAGAATTATATTATATAAGATAGAAAATAAATGAATGAAAAATAATATTAAGGCCTAGTTTGGGAAGACTAAATAAGTGCACTTTTTGACTTTTTATGAAATATGGGTTGAGTTTGGGTTGGGTTTGAAGTGATGTGTTAGAGAGGTGATGTGACTTAAATAAGATGATGTGACTTAAATAGGATAGTGACTTTTTAACTTTTTATCTTTTTTTAATTATGCCAAACTTGGCCTAAGTATAATATTTTAGTGTTTTAATTTTATTATAATGAAAAATAAATAAATAATATATTATAAACATATAAATATATTTAATAAATATAATCAAGGCGGAGTTTGGGTGGAATGAAGCAGGAGAAGTGAAACCTGTCCCCGCCCTCACTTTTTAATCGGGGCGGGAAAAATCTATAAGGGGTGAAACAAGGGATGCAAGTGCGGAGTGAGGTGAGTGCAAGGAAAATGACCATCTCTAGTTGTTGGAGACGACCAGTTGTCGTCGACAATAGAAATGAATGATGGTGCATGGCAAAGTGAGGGTGGTCAAAGGTGGTCGATGACAGTAGTGATCAACAATGCATGGTGAAAGAAGGAAGATGAAATGAAAATTTCTTTTTGAAATAATAATAATAATAATAAATCAATCCATTGGGTTTAGGTTTTTTTTTTTTTAGTTCAAATCTTTTGATTTTTAGTAAACTTTTTATTTTTTCATATTTTAGTTTTTTTTTTTTAAATGTATCTAAAAATTAAATATATATTTTAGTTGTTTTAAATTTTTTATGTTGTCTTTTTTTAATGAACTAATTTTCAAATTTTTTCACAAATATCTTTTGTTTATTGCTATAGATCATTTGTTATGCGATCAAAAACTCGCAGAGAAGATATGTAATTTTTAAAACCACAAAAGACAATTTATATTTTAGGTAAACCTCAAGAAATATATTCGTAATTTTCCCAAAATAATCTTAATGTTAACCAAACACTGGAAAACAAAAGTAAAAAATTATTTTGGGGCAAAATCAATTTAGATGAAAAATATTTTACGACAACATAAGGAGCTTATGTCACTTCATTTTTCCTTCCTTATAATGCACTTTAATCAAGGCACACAAAATTTATGTTGCCATATTGACAATCGCATGAAAAATCCTAAACACAAAAATCTCAATACACAATCATGAGATTGGGAGTGGGATTGAGACAGAAAATCCCGTGGTCATGTAGAGGGACATAGCAAACACATTATTTTAAAGAAGATTTAACGGGCTCATATAGGTTGATATCAATGGAATTCTGCTCCCTCGGCCGAATTAGAAATTATTACATTGATAAGAACAAATTGCCATTTAAGTGGCAATTGCAACGTCTTCTCTAGAAAACCTGGCAATGAAAATACAAAATGACACAGTACTAAGGACCCTGATGGCTTCTTACTAAATATGACAAAAGCTTTTCATTGTAATGACATATGCTCAAATGAATGCTAGTATGTGTTGCTCAGACGATGCTTCCGTCACACAGTGAGAGATGCACCATTGTCCGCCATTGTAAGATTAAGTATCATTGTAGCTGCTTTCGGTGCCCTGCAATGGGTGTGAAAAAATTATATCAAATTAAATCAGGAAAAGTTCAAGAAATGCAAAATTCCGCAACAGCAACAGAAATATAAAGCACAATCGAGGAAAGAGTATTCATCCTTGTAAGAATTTATGTATTATTGATTGATGTTTATTGATATCTATTACAATGATTCATGATTCCTATATATAGAAGAGGGTGAGTGTGTAGTAGGTAAGGAGTAGGTGAAGTGGAGGTGGTAGTGGTGTAGTGGGTTAGGTTTAGTGGAGTAGGTGAGGTGGTAGTGGTGTAGTGGGTTAGGTTTAGTGGAGTAGGTTTAAGTGGGTGAAGTAGGTGGAGAGTAGGTGGATTTTAACAATCCTCTACGCTGCTAGACCGCTTCTCAATGAAATATCACAAATCATTGATGGAAAAAAGATTTGATTTAGGACAATTATGGCTACATTGTTCCTTTGCATCAGATGTTCTACACGTCAGGCTATGAGGTGCAACTTCTATTGTGGCTAAAGCAATTTAGTACTGTTCTAAAAAATAGATCATCTGGTCCCTAAAATTGGATTTGCAGAATCAGCGGATGAGGTATAAGCTGAGTAAGTTAAGCAGAGAACTGTTTCTTCTAAAACAGGTACTTTTCACAAGAAGTTCAGAATTATTCTTTGATAAGATCTTATATTTTGAAATCTTCTCTATTTCTTGGCCATCAATCATGGAATAAAATGAAGTTGGTGTTTGAGGACATTTATCCAGACGACAAATTTACAGTACTGTTGAGTCACTGGAAGGAAAGAAAAGGTTACACATGTAGGTGTTGGAAAACTCTGATCCAGAATATCAAATTCTTGAATAATTGCTAAATTCCAATCCTCCAAGAGTATTAGATAGCTTTACTAGTGTTGGTGATTTAGAGTGTGTGTGTGTGTGTTTGTTTCAGGAAAACGAAATTTCTAGTTCAATATACCCATATTTAGAATTCTTTCATTGAAAATTTGATATCAATTGTAATAAAAATAACATGCAAGAAACGTTATATGTATTAGAATTGGAATAAGACAGCTTTCTAGAAGTTGCAGATGGGGTGTCGTAAGATATATGAAAAAGGAACAGAAACACATACCAAGACTCGGGGGTCTGGTATAAAGCAGCTGAACTGCCAAAGCACGATGCAAGCATGTCCGTGTTTATCACACCGGGATTAAGTGCAACTATTGCCATTCCACTTGGTAACTCCTTTGCTACTGACCTAGTTAGGCCCTCTACCGCCCATTTTGAAGCACAATAAGGTGCAACCTGCCAACATTTAATTAGCAGTAGGACCAAATCAAAGATTGCCAAAGATCAACTCTGGAAATTTAAGATGAGCAGAAGTAATAATTTTATAGGACAATCTGCAACCTATGTCCCAAATCAGAAATTTCATAATTCATTTATTATTTATATATATATATATATAAAATATCAGCAACATGAAAATTTTAATAAAAAGGGAAAAAGGAAAGGATATCCCAGTCAGTCAGGCACTCATCGATAACCCCAACCTCACAGACTCACAGTAAAACCATTATTTTAACCTTTTTTTTTATAGGTAAAAGATTTGTATTAAAAGGCACCAAAGGGATGTGTATACACTAAAAGAAGCACAAAAACGTAAGTCCTAAAACTTATATGCATAATCGTATGTACTTGAAAGTATGTACAAAGTCCAAAAATTGATTCAAGGACGGGTCAATTGTACATGAGAACCAACTGTACAAAAGCAATAAAATTCTACTCTTTAATACAAAAAATAGATTCTTCCTACATCAAAAGACCTCCGATTGTGTTGTTGCCCCCAAATTATCCACATCAAAGCCAAAAACACCAAAAATAAAGTCTTTTTCCTTGGTGCTCTATTTTTTTTTGTTTAAATTGACATTACAAAAATTTGTATGCAGCACAACTATTCATTTAGAAACATATTTGTGAATTGTTACATTTTGTAGCTTGTACACAAAAAATAAAAATCTGTTCACAGATATATGCGAATCCACATCAACAAAATAGAGGAAAAAATGTAACTTTGGGACAAAAGCACACCAACTTTTTATGTCGTACCTGTGCAGCAGCAGACCTTCCCCACCCAGATGACATATTGACAATAATTCCTTGCTTGCTTTCAATCATAAGAGGGATGAAGTGACGTAACATGTTTGCAACACCCTTTATATTGGTGTCAATGACCGCATCAAACTCTTCCACTGGAACCTCCCAAATTCTGTTGTTTCTATTAATAGTACCTGCATTGTTTACTGGCAGATACCCTTATTTCAGGTCCCTATACACACATAGCCTTTCAATCGCAAGTCGGAGGCAAAGGTAAACTAACGGAATTGAAGTAAAGATGAAAGCATTTTCAGCTGAATAAGGATGTAAATAAGCCAAAATAAATGTAAACTCTAAGAATATAAAATGGCACGATCCGTCAGAATATCAACCCAATGTTATATATTGGCAATAGTTGCTTCAAGGTCATATTCCCTTATGATACTCTATTTTATTTAAATTATAATGACAAAAAATAAAAATATCATACTGTAAATCACAAGATATCCTGATTTCTCACTCTTAGAGCATATGGGGATGGTAGAATTAACGCCATCTCAAAGATGGTTGAGATTTGGTAATGTGTGAACCCTAGTATATTAGTTTGGGACCCCACTACTTGTGGGATGGCATCCACACCAAAAATTTATCCATTGAGGCTGCAAATATGAATTCAGCCTAATGCTGAATATTGATCAACCTTGCCCAATAACAAAGAGGACTTACTTGAGTTTGTGCTATTTTTGTGCCCCAAAGTACGGTGAATTCAGGAAAATTTAATTTGTTTCAAGCCCAACCTGGTGAGAACTGGTAAAATAAATATTGTGAGAATGTTAGGTAAATTTTTAGTTCTTTAATAGTTTGAAAATCAACTAATTCATTTGAAAAGTGTGAAAATGAAAAGATGTTACATTATTACTCAATATAAAATACATTGCATCATTAGTCATTAACACCTTTTTCTTTCTTTATTTATTTTTTGCTCACAAGGGTGTCCGGGCCTGGACACTGGGGGTTAGTCATTAACATTTACTAATCTTTATAAGATGGAGAAATCACCATGAAAACCAATTATATAATAAGGACAAAAATGAACTTTTTAATTCAAAAATAGGTTCTTCTCTACCATTCACAGCCACATATGAATGTCCAATACTAGTATCTGTCTTATACAAAGTAGAAGGTCATTGAAGGAAGGAATTATAATGTATGGTGAATTCTAATTTAAATTGAGGTATCAAATGAACAATCATGTTTAACAAAAATAAAAAAATTCATGTACCTATAATATCTGGAACACCCTTCTTTTCCACTACAGCACGGGCCAACTCTTCAACACTGCTGTTTGACCTCTACAAATACAAAATTACACAACCTCTCTTAGTATTTAACACAATCACATAAAATCAATTTCCATAAGTAGATCATCTGCATGATATAATTCAAATTCAAACTTATATGATTCAACTATCTTTTTCCATCCCTTTACCTCCTAATTCCCAAATAATAATGTTACATGTGTTTGGATTGGGTATAGGGCTGCAAACGAACCAAACTATTTGCGAGCTGGCTCGGCTTGTTTAGTAAACGAGCCAAGCTTGAGCTCGAATAAGCTCGGCTCATCAAGCTCGACTCGATTATCTTTATTTAAATTATATATTAAATAATATATAAATAATAGCATAAATACATTATTTATGTATTAAATAATATAATATTTTTTATTTAAATAATAAAAACATCTTAAAGAGACGAGCTGAGCTCGAGCCCAATTAATTATTGAACCGAGTTCGAGCTCAATAAACGAACTCGATAAGTAAACGAGTCGAGCTCTAGCTCAACAAAGAGCGAATCGGTTCGGCTCGTTCACAGCCCTAATTGGGGAGATTGGAGAAAATAGAAAATAAAAAGAATTTCCCTCCGCTAAATCATTTTTTTGGATGAGTTGAGAGGAGAGAAATTGTGAAGGGGGCAAAAAAGAGAATAAGAAAAAGATAAAAAGGAAAAGAAAAGAAACCTTTCATAAACCACTTATGGTTTCTCTCCATAAATGGAGCTATTTATCTGTTTAATTTCTATCACATGCATTTCTTTTTATCCCTTTTATTACATGATAAACCTTTATTTTCTTATCTTGCCTCCCCCTTTTTTCTTTTCTCTTCTACTTACGCAAACAAACGTTAATCAAAAATGCAGATGAAATTACAAGATAAAACATTACTTTTAGAAAAAATGTGATTGCTTAGAAAGTTAGAAGTATGAGACATTTGTATTACACAGAACTTCAACATCTGTACTAAAATATAAAGGGAGAACACCATTTTGGTGTTCCAATCTTTTTAAATCGGTCACTGTTTTGTATGTCAAAATTACCAGCAGAAACTGCTTCAATTTTTTATTCCTCAACCCCTCTCGCAGCTGCTTTTTGTGAACAATAGGGTTGGTTTCTATGTTTTCCATTGCAGACAGGTCACATGTGCACACCCTCTTGTCAGGTGGCAAAAGTCTGATGGTTTTCCTCGTTTTAAAACCCTACCGAACCAAAAACAAACCCACAAGGCAATGCAGTTCAAACACACCATTGCACGAGCACGCGCACACGCAAAAAGAGCATCAAAATTTGTGAAGAAACATGTGGTGACTGTGGGTACTTGTATCAAGCCCTATACGCGGCAAGCCCTACGAGTGCCACATCACCAAAACTCCGCCTGCATGACAGACCAATAAGGCATCACGTAGGCATATCACATGTTTGATACATGGCAAAGACTATATGCTTAGTCTAAGCGGGAGCACACATATAAGCCCAAATATGTCCAAATATGAAGAGCCCTACAACAGGCAGCACCATGGCACGGCAGGGCCCATGGTCCTTCATACCTTACTCTAAGACCAAACAGCAATATAATCAGCCCCCGATTCACTTAGACTTGGACTGATAAACACTGACTCTCCTAAACATTGAGATAGGCCCGCGGCCCATTCTCCTACTTGGCCGTTTGGAAGCGAGCCCCTGGCTCTCCTAAACACTGAAGTGGGCCTTGGCCCATTCACCTACTTGGTTTCCTAAGTTGGGAGCAGGACCCAGGCACTATTGCTAGGGATCATCAAAGAATATTGGATTGGCGACTGAGGTTATGGGATCGTTGAGATGGTCGCCTTCTTGCTAAAACAACTCCATCTCAACTAGGCTTGGAGAAGAGGCAACAACGACCTTACATTCATGTCATCCGATGCATATACGAAACGTTACTTTCTGCCTGGTATGAAATGTTACTCTCTGTCTGCCATCAAGCCATAGACGGTATAAGGGCTTATATCACTTCTGGCAGAGTTGGGGAGAACGAGCCACCTGTTCAACAGTTTGCTTAGGCTCCAATACTCTTGTGGCCTATATAACGTATCGTATATGCAACAAGAAACTTCACTTCACCACAACAATAATCTATAATTTTAACACGCTAAGTCTCACACTTAAACACTCCCTCTCGCATTCTACATTAGTGTTCAAGGTCCATCACTACCAAACTCTCCCTCTCCAAGCTTGCCTTGACCTCCTCCTTTCAACCTCCGGTGATCTTAGTCCATTGAAGTGCCTGCCATCTGCGCAGACTATCTCCAACCACACTTCTCACCCATAGTGACAAACACAAAATTCACCATTCGACCATAAATGCACCCAAAATAGAATGAAATAAATGGTAAAACAAATTGGAACACGCTTAAGCATACATAGTGGCATTAGGTTCAGGAGGAATCTGAGCCCACCTTAATTTTTAGAAAATTGCACTTTTTTCCTTTAAATGATTTTTTTCTTCAATTTACTCCTTTGAAGTTTTGAATATATCCTCTAAATTTTTTTACTCTCTCTCTCTCTCTCTCGTATGTGTATCTTGGTGTAACTTCATCCTCACTTTTATGGAAGCATGGGATCACATTCTAAATTATGATTATCCCAAAAAAATAATAATAATGATCAGTTGACTCAAAAATAATTCCAACATTTAATTTTTGGGTAATTCAATTCGCACACCACCAAATTCCAATACACACCATTTATACAGTTCAGATATAAAGTTAGAACAAAATTAAAATGTTCGGATATAAACTTCTGAACAAAAAAACAGCTCGGATATAAATAGTTTAACATAATGTATATTTGAACAATTCATTATTGTTAGGAAATTTAAGTCCGAACATTTGACTTTTGTTCCAAATTTTATATCCGAACAACACACAAATGGTGTGTCCTAAGATTTTCTATGGTGTGTGAATATAACTTCCCTTAATTTTTTCATCTCATTCATCTTTTCTCATCGAACCACCAAAGGAAATTGGTTTAATTGGATTGTGATATATTTTACAAAGGGTGCAACTCATTGTTTCCCCCTCAACCAAAATCCTGGCTCCACCACTATACATACATACATATATAGAAATGAAAGGTATACTTGTCCAAAGAAAAATGAAATGTATCTATCTATCTTCTATCCATCTATCTATCTATACTATTATAAAAAAGAAGCCCTTCTCGTGTTTATGTCTCGTATTTTGGATTTTTCCAAAATACTCCTATACTCTATTATTAGATCATACAATTCGCGATTTGAATCGTATAATTCGATTCGATTTAGTGGGTAATCGATACGAATAGGTTGTGTGAATCGCAAATAGTTATGAATCATAGATGAATCGTGAATCGATTCGATTCACTAAAATCAATGTTTGGCTTTCTTTTTTGATTTTTATTGTTGAAAAGAGGTTTATACAACCTTTTTAAGGTCTTTAGGATTACTATATGCTATCTTTTGACTTTCTCCCTCCTTATTTACTCTCCAATACTCAAATCTTAGCGGGAAAAAAACGAACTTTCTCTTTCTACAATATTCTAGGGCTACATATTCAATTTCATCTAAGTACTTCTCTGTGTTACATGGACTCTTCTATTTCTCCCACAATACCCGTGGCCACCGGATATGACATGGGTAAGGATGTGGGATATGTGTCCGACACTCGTACTCAATTTAGACACTCGGATCTTTTAATTTGTGACAATATATGAGAAGAAGAAACTCACATTTGCTAGTAAAACAATACTTTTAACTTTTCACATGAATTAGATATAGAAATTTCATATTTTTTTTTGAATCCTATTCAATTTCAAGTATATATTTCTATATACTTTACAACATTTCATCTGAAAATATTATATAATATGCAATATATATGTATATATGATGCGTCCCCGTACCCATATCCAATTTTGGATACGTATACCAAGATTCTAAAATTTAAATTTATAAAAGTCTAACGCTTGGAAATACACCCACATTCGATACTCGTACCTGAATCCATGTAAGATAGGTACTTCTATTTACAAAATGAATTTTTTGAAAGCATCAAGTGAGATTTTTGAAGAAGTTTGAAGATTTTGGTATTTTAACCTTGTAAAAAGGTCAAAAAAAAACTTATTGTTGAGTTATTATCACTTGAAAATTGAAAGTTTGTCTTTATTTACTTTCTTAATTAAGAATGGTTGATAAGAAATAGTATCTAAAAGGGAAATTACCCAGACCACATGATCATCATTAAAAACAATATTTTCATTGATTTAAGTAATATTTCATATTTATTAGATATATTTAATATCTAAGTGTATATATATTTTCTATATAATTAAAAAAGGTGACCAAATATTTATGGTTCACGATTTGATTCGATTCGCGATTCAGTACAATACCATTTCGATTCATGATTGAATCCCAATTTGACAACTATACTCCTATCCCCTGAATTCAAAAAATAAATAAATAAATAAATAAAAATTCTTCAAATAACTCAACTCTAGATTTTTCCAAATTCATTTCAATTATCAGATTTTGAATTCAAACATATAGTTTACAGTCTTATTTTTAATGATCATATGTGCCCGCATCGCATGCACCACCCGCTTCTAGTATATTATATACTAGCAGCCCGCACACGCATGTGCAATTTGGAAAAAAAAAGTAATAGTATAAGAATAATGACAAAGAGAAATGAGTTGTTCAAGTGGCATGAACCTGGTTTCGAATCTCATCATCCTCTTAACATGTATAAAATAATATAGATATATATATATATAAACAGAGAGAGAGATAGAGAGAGAGGTGACTGACCACATCGACATTCATGAAGAGGTGCTTATCAGAGGAGGAAGGGTTGGAGTGAGAAGAAGAAGAAGAAGAGGAGAGGTCGGCTTGGAGGGAATTGAGGTTTTCCTGAGAGCGAGAACAGCCAATAACGGTGTGGCCTCGCTTGGCAATCTCTAGGGCTAGGGCTTTTCCAAGGCCTCTGCTCACCCCAGTAATCAGCACCGTCCTCTGCGGCAGTCCTCCTCCGTTCGCAATGTTCATACCTACTCCCACTGTCGTCCTCCTCCTCGTCCTGTGTTTTCCCTCTTGTTGCCTTCACTCTACTGTTTGCCTTTCTCACACTGCGTTTGGAGGGAAACACTTTCGTTTAGAGGGAATGGAAGTGGGGGGATCGGCCATCATGTTAGTACCTTGTTTGGGTTGAAAAATTAAGACTATTTTGTTCTGACGGGAGAGGTGGGATACACACCCTTAATCAATTCTCCTCTCAATTAGATCTCGTTTAGAAATGCCTTATTTTAGTAAATTTTTGATTTTTTTATAAAAATATATACAGAAAAATAAAAAGAGTGATGTAATAATTTATAGTGATTTTTTAACTTTTTTAACTAAAATATTGACAAACAAAACCGTAATTAGTAAAAAAATAATTTTACTCTCCAAATATTTAGGACATGTTTTGTTTAGTTTTTATAAACTAATTTTTAATTTTTTCTTAAAAAATAAAAATTTATTTTTGTGAAAATTTTAAAAAAAATTAAAAATAGTTATTTCCTAACTTCTAATCTCATGATTAAACAAATATGAGATACACATCATTTCTAACCAAATAGTCCAGAGATTATATATCTCAATATTAACAGTTCAATGTATTACAATACCCTCTTATCCAGTCTATCTAAACAAACATGCCCTATGGTATACATCCTGTAAAAAGTGTGTACCATATCAACCTTATACTTAAACAAGAAAATATCATAATTTTATATTTTCTGAGTCACAACTAAAAAATAAATAAAAATGTCATAATTAAACACAACATGAGTCATAACTAAAGAATTCATAAATCATAATTAAAATAATATTATAATAAAAAAAATGATATGGTATAACTAGGGGTGTATATGGTACACTCTTTTAAAGGGTATGCGTATTGGAATTTCTTACATTTGGAATGAAAGAATTGGTGGGAAAATATAAAAAATGGAAAGGAAAACAAAATATAAGTAATGTTAGTGAATGTTGAAAATTTTAGGGAGTTGCTATTTTCAATCTATTTTATTTTAAATACACTCCATTCTTTGCTCTAAATACATTAATACTTTTGAAATTTTAATTTTTTTCAGAGAATGTACTTTGTGTAAAAGGGTATTAATGTAACTATGCATAATAAAGACAAAGAGTGAAGTGTTTTTGGAATAAAGTGGAGTGTGAATAGTGACTCCCTTTCTTAAGACATCAATAAATTCTAAAATGTTTATTTCGTGTTAACACTTTTGAAAATATTAATTTATGATGTACGGATACTTCAAAAAGAGAGACATATTCGTATCAGTACATATCGGATATCGATACTCCTTGGATACTCGTGGATATGTATCAGATACTTCTTAATTAATTTTTCATAATTTTAGAGTATCAAATAGTTAATTTTGAAGTATCGGATGCTCAAAATCACATATTGCTTCCAATACTTTGTTTAATTAGTTGATAAGAGCCTAAAGGAATATAGTGAGAGTTAGAGTCATAGAATTTATCAAATTGATGTGTCCTTATTCTTTCTTTCACTCATGTCTAGCTCCCTTACTCTTTCATGTTTTTTCTCTTTGTTCTCGTTCTTTTTTTAGTGTCAATATGTAAGGAGGATATTTAATTTGTATTTGCTTTTACTTTTAGTTTTGGATATTTTATGAATGTTTGAAGACTCTTAGCTTAATAAGAATCCCTCTATTTATTAATTTACTTTAGGTTTTATTTTTATGTATATTGCATTATTAAATTATAAGAAAATAATTTTTTTCCCAAACATATCCTCGTCGTACCCTTATCCTTTTTCCCCCCCCCAGATTTTGACGTATTGCCGTATCTGTATCCATGTTTCCTAGATATTAATAGGTCAAAAAAAAGGAACAAAACCTATAAATAAATAAGCATGGTAGATACGTTGATAGACCTTGCAAGTTATATGTTAGAAATGGTTTGAGCAAAATAGTTTTTTCCTAAACTTTGGTCTATTTTTAAAGTGGGACCCATGCACCAAAGTTGACGGGTCTATGGGGCAATGCGTTCTTTGCCGCTTGACAATTCACGTCGTATATTTAGTTACTCAAAACCATTATCGGGTGAATGGGAAATTGATATCAAAGTGTGCTCCATGAAAATGATGTTTTGGTGAGTTTTCCATAAGGGATGAAGAAAGGCTTATCCCACATTGTTTGGGTGGGCAAACATGGTATGGGTTTATAAGTCTTGAGTTTGCATCTTGAGGAGGGGCCCAAGTTTTGTGAAGGGGGAGGTTATAGGTAAACTGGGCCTTAATCCATTGGACCCAAAAACTACCACCACACACGCGTACTGGCACCACCCACCTAGACTGGACTGGGGCAGGGCGCGAGTGTGAGGTGTGAGGTTGGGTTGGGCTGGGCCTGTGTGGTCCAGGCCACTACTTATCCTTTTGGGTTAAAAACATTTGAATTTTATTTTTTTCTACGAAAGAGTATATACACTGAGTGTGTTCATTAAATAATTAGTGCGTAATGCTGCTACTGATTATTGTCGATCATTTTATCCTAGAAGATAAACGTTCATATTTTGAAAGCACCGTGGAGAGGACGAATCTATCTTAGGGAAATAGTGTCAAACGCTGGACTTGATCAATTTTTTTAAGAAAATAAATACTGTAAGTATTTTACTTTATTTATTGTTCTTTTTGTTTTTGTTTTGTTTTGTTTTTTTTTTCCAGATTCTGTTTGGTTTCTGTGATTAAAATAGAATATGGTTTTATAATTTTTATTTATTTATTTATACATTTTGTTTCGGTTTAGTACTCGAACAGAATTTCTTCTATCTTAAACTATTCTTCAAATACAGTGAAGACTGTCTAACATTATACTCATTCTTTTATAATTCAGATTTATTTATTAATTTGTTTTTAATAACAAGTAACCTCTCAATCAATTGAAACTAACATTACTAACATTGCATGGTAAGTTCTTAGAGTATCTCCAACGTTTACTCAAAAATTTCATTAAATTTGAGTAAAAAATGATGGAAAGTGTTATTTGATATTGTGCATTCCAATGCTAAAACTTCAATGTTCATAAGATTTTTTTACAAACAAGTTGTTTGGGAGAACATCCAGGAGAATGTCCTGGAGGCATCTGATTTGCAAGCTTAGTTGACAAGCAGGTTATCTGGGGAGGACATCCGGTCGGTCGTCTAAGGGTACATCCGGTCAATCATCTAACTGTGTTGGTATGGCAAGAGCAACAACGGCTATTTGTAAATTTAATGAACGATGAAACCTCCCTTAACTTGATGAAATATGTGGTGTTGTCTTCATTTGATATGAGTTTGAAGAAACCATTGGAGTAGAAAAAGTGAACGCTTTTCATCAAATTTAAATTTGATAAAAGATCTGAATAAGCGTTGGAAATGGTCTTACTCACAAATTATAGATATTGGTTAAGTTCAAAAGACAACAACGGAAATTGAATTCAAATATCTAAATTTACCATTCATCTCAAAATTTGTTATAGGGTACCCATGTTGCAACCTACCAACTTTAAATGGTGCTACAAAATAATTTTTGATTCCACATTATTTCTTTTTTTATTTATTATTTATTTACCCTTTTGTTTTATTTCAATTTATCTTGCTCTAAATCTAGTCCAATGGCATGGAAAACCACCCATGCATGCACACACGCATAATCATCATGGAGAATAGAGCAAGCCTCAAAGATTTTTTTTAATTTTATTTTTTGTATATCATTTCCCCAATCTTTAGTACAAATATGTCACAACTTTTAATTATATCAATCACATATAATTAGTTTTTTTTTATGAAAAAAACTACACAAAATAAATAAATAAAGGGAGTAATGTGATAATCTTATAGTGATTTTTTGACTAAAAATTCATGTTTTCAAACTAGGCCTCATCTATAGTTTCATAAAAATATATAATTTTTTTGAATTGCTTCTTTTTTAATACATTTTAAAAACAAAAAATAAAAGTCTGTGATGATGATTAGGCAATAGTTATTTAAGCCAAACCCTAATGTGTCAGTGTAAGCATAAGATTTGTTGGATTTGTCAATGACAAAGCCCTAGGGAAGGCACTAAGAACAAGACATTTTTAATAGTGATTTGTTTGCTAGGGAAGAAAATATGCTGAGATGACTTGGGTTTTAATTGGACACCCTAATATTTATCAATATAATAAAGAGTTATGTTACATCCACATAGTACTCTCGAATAGCTTGAATGAGGTGGATGGGTTTTGGAGGTTGTTTGCCCCAGTTGTCTCAAAAGTGAGTGTGCTTCACACGTTCCTCCTATTTGAATTTCTCTTTCTAAATCCCTTCACTTTTGGGTTGTTTTGCTTTGCTCACACTTTCGACAGCAGAGAGTTTTGGCTCCCGTCAGAGTTCCTCACTGACGACGACATACTCATGGGTAGGGGTGTAATTATAGCCCGAACTGGCCTGACCCGGCCTGTAAAGGGCCTTCTGGGCTTCCGCCTTTTTGGCAAGTAGGCCCGCGGGCTGAAAAGTAGGCCCTAAACCCATTCAGAATAGAGTTGGTGGGCCAGGCCCAGAGGGCCTTTTTTTCTTTCCAAAAATGAGCGATAAATATATTATGTATAGATTATTTATGAGGGACAAAAAAAAAAATTATACTAGAGTACTTTAGTTAAGATTAATGAGATGTTTGGTTATGTTTCATGTCTGATGGTATTTAAATTTAATTATGCATGACTTATGTTTATTTGGTTATGAACTTATGACTAAAAAACTAATTTTCTTCTTCTGAAATAAATAATTTTATATATATCAAAATGAAACTTTCAATATTACAATCATTAAATTAAATATATAACATTTATTGAATAAATAATTTTTATTTGAAAATGAAATAAAATATTACAAAAAATTTATATCATTAAATAAAATAGAGGTAGATTATTGATGATGGTAGAGCAATTGCATCACTATAGGTCAAGTACATCCCAATTAGGTTGGCACCTACTAGTCTACTAATCATTTGCATTATATTCTACCCCAATAATCTAATACAAAAAAATAACGAAATAAAATAAGAAAAATAAATTGTTGATTAATCATCAGAGGAGGCAAACAATTCACTCGCGTTGCCCGAGGATATGTCATCCAAATTGTTTTGAATTCTCTCATTTTCACT